GAAGGTATTCTTAGAAGAGGAACACGAAGGTGCAATGCCTGTGTGCATCTGATTGCACAAAATAACATTTATTGAAATGAACTCTAAGAAATGGAAACAAGAGTTTTTTACTTTGTTGTTGTTGTTGTGTTATTTTCTCTTGGTCTTCTTTTTTCATTTATATGTTTTTGGGAGGGTAAGGGAGGTACAGAAATGGAGAAGCCAAGAGTAAGCAAATGCAGCATGGGTACTCACAAGATATTATGTGGAAAATGAGCTATACAACTTGTGGGTGGGGATGAGAGGGGAAAACGGGGAGAGAGAGAGGGAAGGGGTGACATTGTCTGAAAAGAAATGTACTCATTACCTGACTTATGTAATTATAACATCTCTGGATATCACCTTCATAATAACAATAAAAAATTTAAAAGAAAAAGAGTATTCACAAAGGGCAAGAGTGATTATCCTGGAAATTTTCCCACAAGGTATTATTATAAATGTTCTATTAATTATTGTTATGTACAACTGGTTTATAAATTAAGCTTTATTACAGACATGCACATTTAGGATAAAAAATAACACATATTGGATTTAATGTTATTTGCAAGTTTGGGGATCTTCTAGGATTTTGCAACATGTTCCGGAAAAATATAGAGGGAGTATATTATACCCATTTTCCTTAAATCAAGAAACTTTCTGAGTGTCTTCTAAACCCATTTCCTGCATAGAGAGCACAAAAATTTCCTCTCTCCTTTCCATTTCTCTTTATTTCAGTCTGTTAAAGGAAAATAAATCCTTGCTTAAACTTAAATTACAAAATCCTTCTGGAATAAAAAAAAAATCCTGGTATAGAAAAGTAATCACTGCTTAGCAAAGCACAGGGAGATTTTCTGGGGGTGCAATTGTTTCTTACTCAAACTTGTAAAACCTGCCATGCTGGTCCTTCTTGTAATGTTCTTTCAGAGAAAGCTGGCAGCTCTAACTAATGAATATTCTGGATCTGGCCAGAATGCTTCTGATTCTCTGCCATCAGCTTTGGTTCTGTGTGGTTTTAACCATCCAAGTGTAAGTTTCTGGTTTCCAAAATTTCTAATATCGTTATAATCTTACTATCATGCTCCAGGAGGCGACTTAAAACTGTTTTGGTCAAAGTCCATCTACTTTAGAAGGACAGTAGCAAAGCCTTTTCATGGAAAACACAGGAAGCACCCCACACGCGTTCTCTCCTTCCCCTGGCATAGGCCACAGTAGAGTTTCCCTGTAAACAACAATGAAGCTGGCTGAACAAAACACACGAAGGAAAATGGTTGAGGCATGGGACAACAGGTGTTAAACTCAGAGCGATTCCACAAGTCTCATGACCATCTAAACTCTCTGACCAGGGTGCAAAGCTCTGGAGCTGCAATAGAGCACAATAGACCCTGTGCGCTGAGGAGCCAAGGAGCCAGGGCAGATTATAGCAAGGCAAGAAAAGTATGGAAGTATATGGAGCAGGACAGTCAGGCAGAGGAACATATGGAGAGTGGAGCCTGAAGTGGATTCCGTGATTCTAGGGCCAAGTGCCTAGTCTGCAGGGCAAGACTGGGTGGAACTCCTCCAAGGGAGGTGGCTTTGGAAACAGAGATAAGAATGATCGTATGACAACAGAGAACACGAAGGTCTGGCCCCCAAAACCTCATCAGTCCTTCATCAACTCATCTAGATGAGGCAACAGAAAAGTGCCTAGGCAGTGAAGATGTGTCCAAAAGCCAGCCCCACTCTACGTTTGTTTTGAAAACAAATAAACAAAACTCCAAATACAAGTCTTGACTGACACTTGTGATTCATGCCTGTAATCCCAGCTATTCCCAAGACAGAGATAGGAGTATCACAGTTTGAGGCCAGGCTAGGCAGAAAACTTCCTAATATTCCATCTCCAAAATAACCCACAAACACAACCGAATCAAAGTCTGGCCAAAACTACTGGGGAAACACTTTGGCCATCAGGTACTACTAGAAAACATATTACCCCTTCTGCAGGTCTGTTCTTAAAAATCATGGAAACCAAGTCAACATAATTTCAAGGTCAAACTAACAACTAGAAAACAAAAGAACACAAAACAAATTGGAGGCAGCCACATTCCTGCAGTTCTTTCCCTTATAGTGAATGAAATTATATGTCTTTTCTCCATTTAAAAAGTCTTCAGAAAATAATAGAACTCAACAATAATTTATTTACAATGCTTGGTATTACATTTAAAATTTCATTAGACACATAAGACAAAAAAGGAGTGTAGACAAGGCAAAAAAAAAAAAGTGAGACAAATGCAAGTTCAGGGTGTAAAAATGAAAAAAGTTCTTCCTGAAAATGGACCTTCAGAGCAGGGTGGAGTAACCATACTTATATCTGATAAAATACATTTCCAACAGAAGCCAGTCAGAAGAGACCAAAATGGTCACTTTCTATTAATAAAGGGCATGACCTATGACAAGAAAAATATAACTGTTAACACATTTGCAATTGTTAAGACAATTGCATATCCAGATTCATTAAATCAACACTTTTTGGACTTTTTAAAGAATAGTATTTTAAAGTATATATATGTATATATTTTGAGTCAGTAGTTGGGCTTGAATTCAGGACCTGGGTGCTATCCCTAACTTCTTTTGCTCAAGGCTAGCAGTGTTCCACAACTTTGAGCCACAGCTCCACTTCCAGTTTTCTGGTGGTTAATTGGAGATAAGAGTCTCACAGCCCTTTCCTGCCCAGGCTGGCTTTGAAACACAATCCTTAGATCAAATACTATCCTTAGATCTCAGCCTCCAGAGTAGCTAGAATTTCAGGCATGAACCACCAGAGCCTGGCAGTTTTGTGTATTTCTATTTGGTTTTGGTTTTGTGTGTTTTTCTGAGCTTAGGAGAAGATTAGAGGGTACCTCTCACTGAAAGGACCCTTTGTGACAAATAGTTATAAATGGCAGGTGGTGATTATATAAGACGTTAAACTATGCAGGCCTATTCCCACAATGCATTTTGTTATAATTATATTAATGACATGCGGTGTATAAACAGGAGGCCTTAATTAGCAGTCTCTCCTCCACGTTGATTTAAGGACAGCCAAGGATAGTACTGTGTCCATGCCATTGAAGGCAATTTCATTTTGTTGAGCAAACAGCCTTCCCATCAAGATTTGATGTCCCTTTGTCTAGCCTGAGGGACACATATCAGTACTTTTTGATGATCAAGAGGCTAGGAGTTAGGATTATGAGGCAGGGGTGGTTTAGAAGACCAGATCTAAAGTGGCTATGACCACCAAAAACCCTGTTTTATCTACCTATTTCAGACATACTTATACATGAAATTCTATACTGGCTAGGATTTGCTTTGAATAATTCTAGCAAAAAAAAAAAAAAATAGAGAAGAGCTAGCTCAAATATGAATGGAGGAAATTTAGACAGGAGTGAATGAAGTGGTTTTGCTGCTTGCTCTAGCTTTGTGACTGAAGTCTCCCCACCCTTGGCCCCCCTATACTGGGGTTTCAATTCATAGCCCAATATTTGATCAGCTTGCTTGCTAGGCTGGTGCTCTGCCACCTGAGCCATGCCTCCAGCCATGCTTTTTGGCTGGATATCTTGGAGATGGACTCTTTCAGACCTTTCTGCCCCAGCTTGTGTAGCTTGGGTTTACAAGTGTGAGCCATGAGCACCCAGACAATTTTGCGATTTTTGACTATTTCTCAGATACAAAATGGAGGTATTGCTGAGTCTGGAGTTTGGAGCAGGTTTATCTGGGTTCTCCCTCGTCAGCCCTTGACCCATGAGCATTGCCAGGCAGTTTCCTGTCTGGCACACACAGTCTGAGATCCACTTGTCCATTCTCGAGATGTCTCTGCTGTGACATCTCGGTTCCAGGCAAGACCAACCCAGCCTGGGAAGCAACATCATCCAGCCAGTGTTTGGCCTCCATTCAAAATGCAGCCTCTAGCACAATTAGCTCAGAACTCTTTACTTGGGAAAATAAGTGACCCTTTGAATTCAATTTTGCTGGGATCCTTGTGATTCTGTGCAGTCTGTGAAGCCCTGGTGGGCAAATAATAGTCACCTGCACCTGGCCGGCTATTACAGGAAGCAGGTCAGGTCATAGGATGGCAGGAAAGCTGAATCAAAGGAAGATATTGAGACCATAATGAAAAATTATGCGTACTCCTGAGCTAAGGTCAATTATCCAGGCTAATAAAAATGCTAAAAATTTGAGAAAGTGGGATTCAATGTTAGAGCCAGGTCCCTTAGAGAACGTTAACAAGGAGCATAGATACAGCAAAAGAAGTCATTTCAGAAAGAGAGATGATTTTTTTCCCTGTACATTGTGGAGGAGAAAGAAATAAATGGAAGAATCTATAGAGACAAACTAAGCTAGACAGAAAGGGGGACACCAGGGCCTTTTCTGTGGTGGGAGAGATGTTTACACAGGAGTATAGATAGGAAGAAAGGAAACGGGGCAAGGGTTTACAGCTAGAATAACAAACACATCAGTGATGTAAAGGCCGGTCCATTACTTTGGTGATGTCTCAGAGGCTGGGCTGGGCCCAAAGAGGAAAAAAGAAGAGCCAGAAAAGCATGCCAATTCCAAGTGGGCCTCTAAGTACTATGGGATGCTGAGCATCCAGCATGGAGGGGCAAGTTGGGGTGCCCTAGTGAAATTCATTCCAGCTATTCTAGGAAAGTCCCGGGGAGCTGAGGAAGTTACTAAAGGGATGTTTGAAAGGTGGTGGTGGTTGGATGGAATGTCATCAACCAGGGAAGTTCAAGTTCAGAGCCACAGACTTTCTGAATTCTCTCCCCTCCTCTTCCCCCCTCCATAGGCCTGGCTTCTGACAACCCTCCACTCTTGGGTCTAAATCAGAGGTACTGTCCTAGAAATCCCTGAGAGTTGTGGAGAATTCCTCTGGCATGTATTCCAGCCTTTGTCTACAATCAATCTGTAAATCCTTTTGTTCTCTAACTGGATCCAATAACTTTCATGTCTGTATAATAATGGTTAAACTGCATTCTCACAGGAAACAAAATATGACAGTGCATCCAGTTATTCTTTAAAGTTTATTAGTTGTATTAATAGTTACTGGGATTTAATTCTAGAGTAGGTATTTTCTCCACTATTTACACTTACTGATAATTAAAAACACACAATTCAAGAATGTCGTTTGCTGTTTTGATAGATACATTTTCATTGTAGTCATAAAAGGGCAAGTTATCCAAAGAGAATTTCCTTGAGTATTTTCTCACTGAAATTAAAACATTAGATCTGATTAAAACCCAATAAACACATGATAGTTCTGTCTCCAAATGTGTCTCCTTGATCCCTAGGGAATGTAGATATTAACTGATATGCCTTGATAATTTTTATAAATTCAGGAACAATTTTTATGATGGTGTACCACAATTTAAAAAAAAAACATGGTACCCTTCCCCAAATATCTTACAAGGACTAATTCCAGCTACTTGTATTGACACCCTTGAATTATTCTAAGTATATTTTACTGGTTTGTTTGGATCACGAAGCGAGATTTGAAAGGAAAAAAATTTTTGACAATGTAAGATGTGAAAAATTAATACCCAGTCTAAGGCCTCAATGCAAACAGGCCCCATGAGTAAAAGAACATGTAATTGGAAGTGAATGCTGGGTCTTATGTTTTCCCTATCTCACCAATCATGTATAGGGATCCAAGGCAAGATGTGTGGATTTCAGTTTCCAGGTGTATCTAATAAGTGGCTAAGAACGGATATTCTCTGGGATGGCCCTGAGGTCCAAGTATTGGTGATCTGTGTTTGGATACTTGATGAGTCCACATGGATCTCGTAGATGGGTCTTCTCAAGGGAAGAGCTCAATGAACATCATGCAAAGAGCTCTTGGTAGTTCTGTCCTTACTCTGGCACGGCGTCACTTCAATACAGAAGCTACCGAGAGGGCCACTGAGGGTCAGATTCAGCACTTCACATGCATTAGAGGCAAAAACTTGGCCGGGTTGTTGAGTGAATGGAATCTTTCAGGGGTTGTTTGAACAAATGGTTTTCTTGGCTTGCTCGTGGTCCGCCTTGGGTTTGGCCCTCACAATGGAGCAGATGGCCTGTTGGAAGTTGTTGTTGACGACCACGTAGAGTAACAGGTTCCCAAAGGTGTTCAGGGCAGCTAAGGGTCGAGAAATGATGTAAGCTTCGTGGATGTTATTCTCCATGGAACAGCTGAGAGAGAGCAGACGAGATTCAATCCGAATGACCCTCAAGATGTGGAAGGGTAAGAAGCAGATATAGAACACGAGGAGTAGCAGAATGGTTAACTTCCGAGCTTTCTGCTTGAGGCAGCTGTGTGTCTGCAGACCATGGGCCAGGGTGTTGAGGATGGTCGTGTAGCAAAGGGTCACAATCACCAAGGGGAGGCAGAAGGTGGTGGCTGTCAAGATGAGATTGTACCATTTGATCGTGGTGAGGTCATCTGAGCTGGTGAAGTCGAGGCAGGCTGATCGATTAGTCCTGGTGGTGGATGTAATCAGGAAGGTGATGGGCAGGACGGCCACCAGCGAAATGATCCACACCACAGCACAGGCTACTACCGTCCACCAGGTTTTGTGTATGGAAAAGCAGCTCAGGGGGTGAATGATGACCAGGTAACGGAAGATACTGAAACAGGTGAGGAAGAGGATGCTACTATACAAGTTGAAATGGAAGCCAAAGCGGATGAACTTGCACATGAAGTCCCCGAAGATCCAGTTCTCTCCACTGGCGTAGTAGTGAATCAGGAAAGGGAGGCTAGTGAGATACAGCAGGTCTGTCCAGGCCAGGTTCAGCATGATGATAGTGCTGCTTTTCCAGGGCCGCATTTTGAAGATATACGTTGAAATCGCTACGATGTTTCCTGGGAAACCCACGAGGAAGATGATGCTGTAAATCACAGGAAGGTAGTGCATGCGGATCAACATCTTCTCATCCGAGCAATTGCCCAATGCAGTCACATTATCGGAGACATCAGAAGTGTTTGCTAAGCCAACCAGGGGTTCGTTCGTGGCTGCTTCATCTTGCAAGGCCAGACGGTTCAATTTGGCTATTGGAGTCCAATGAGAGTTAACCAGCTGGCGGAAGACAAGAAATAGTCATGATCAGGGAAGGAAAACAAGGATGGATTTTTAAAAATGAAAATCACTCTAGCAAGTAAAGGTGTGGCTCAAGTTGTAGAGCACCAACATTGAATAAAAAGACCAAATGACAAGCTGGGTACCCATGACTCATGCCTTTAATCCTAGCTATTCAGGATGCTGAGATCTGAAGGTTGTGGTTCGAAGCCAGCCTGGGAAGAAAAGTCCCTGTGAGACTTCTATCTCCATTTAACCACTCAAAAAACCAGAAGTGGCTCTGTGACTCAAGTGGGAGAGTGCTAGCCTTGAGTACAAAGAGGTTCAAGGGCAGCGCCCGGGCCCTGAGTTCAAGCCCTAGGGTTCTCATCAGATCATAAAAAAGGAAGAATGAGAGGTCGGGGAGGTAACTATGGAAAGCAATCTGTTCAGCAAGTCACCATGATTCACTGACACCATCATCTCACGCTCAGCGACAGAAATGTTCCAATAACCACATCTCATGCAGGCCCCGGGTCTGTTACCTGTCAGCCTCACAAAGCGCTACAATGCCTTCCTTATTCTCTGCATTTCACAGAAGAAGCGAAGGCAGAGAGGTGTTGCAGCCTGCCCCTGATAACTCATCAGTGACTCAGCTGGGATCCAAACACTTTCCTTTGACTTAGAAGCCGTTCTCTCCCTGCGTGGCCTCTCTGTGCCATCTCTCAATCTATATTCTGTTGACTTTTACCAATATCACCCTGAGTCACTGAGCAATCCACAAGTATGAAGATCTGGACACTGTGAACTTTTTCTAATGGCCATTTCATGCATTACAACACGGTATGTGTAGTAGATTTAATTTCAAATGTCAGCTCTTCTGCTCCATTTTGATAGCTTGTCTGGAGGACTATGTTTGGGGTGGGTCCTCGCACTGAAGAGCTGAGGCAGCTGAAAGGGTCTGCAGATTGGTTTAGTTACTTAGTAGTTGTGTGAAACCCTAAGCAGGTGGAGTCTGCTTTCCAGGTCTGAAAAAAAAATGCAATTTTAACTTCCTTCTTCCAGGTCTCTACTAAAACTCTCACAGGGCATGTCTGCAATGAGGAAAGATTATTTAAAAGGAGAGTAACTTATAAGTAGCCACTTATTTGGATGTTAATAGCTGTTGGAAAAATGTACTCACTTACACATTTATAGGGCAGCCAATGTGTATTAATTAGACACTCTACCAAGTCCCAGGGATATCAAATTAATAGCATGCATAGATATATAAGCCACTACCAAGATCTACCAGGGGAGATGGACACAAAACATCATTTTAACAAAACATATGACCCTACCTCATGGAACTGTCCATACACTGTTAAGTAGCAAGATAAACATTTAGTGCACATAATGCATTCTCAGTAAAGATTAACTAGCTGTTAACAAGTAAGTCTTTTGGTAGATGAATATTAGAAAGCTGCCGAGAGCTAAACAAAGCAGTTGCCTAGACACTAGCAAGAAGCACTAAAGCAAGGTCATTGAGGACGGAATACTTAAGCCGAACTTAGCAAGAGGAGCACACTTCTAATTGAGGAAGGGGAAAAGGGGTTTTATGCAAGAAGGAACAGCATTGCGGAGGCACTGAGACATGGTAGACGGTCTAGGACCCATGCATTCCCACATGTCTGTGATTATCTAAAGGAGTATTCAGAGATGAAGATGGAAAGAAAAACAAAATAGTAATGAAAAAAATAATCCTGCTTCTTGTGTATAGAGGCATTCAACTTGTAAGACATTATTCTATGTGTCTTACACAGATAAATTCATTTATTTCTCACAGGGACTGAGGAGGTAGTACTAAGGGAACTCATATTACAGATCAGGACATTGAGGTGAGAAGAACACACTGATGTGTTCTAGCTCACACTGCTAGACTGTGATGGACCAGGATGCTGAGGGAGGTGGGCTGGTTGCAGGACTAGGCGCCTCACATAATGGCTAGGTAAGAAGGAAATCCTAAGTGTTCAAGAATAGCATCGATGAGTGAGAGGTCACAACCGAAGAGCTCAGTAAGTCAATGTGACCCATGTGAAATGCCAACATTCATCATACTGACTCCTTTGAGTAGAGCGAGGATCTCGTGATGTAAATAATGATGGAAGGGGTGACATAAATCAAGATGCATGATGCTCATAAATCAATGATAAATTAAAACCGCTTTGTACAACTACGCAAAGACAATTTTTTACAATTCATATTCAATTGATTAAATAATGGTAAGCTTGGAGTTTCAGAAGCGCTCCGGGATCCTGGTTCCTGGTAAGGCTATGCCCCTGTCATTAGCACAAAATGTGTATCAAAACCTATACTACTGGGCATTTGCTCTGAGTCACGTAGATGCGTATTCCAGGCTGACCCCAAACTAATAAAGCACACATCCATAGAATCCTCCCCAGATGGCTAGACTTAAAAACAATATATTCTTCTGGATCTCATGGAGTCAGGGTGAGATTGGAATGCCTTTAGAGACTTGTGACTTCTATTCTGTATGTAGTAGGGAAAGAGGAGCAAGCGACAGAGCTCCCCTTCAAGGCTGTTGAAATCCTTGGAGAAGAGGCTGGGGTTCCCTAGATCCTGTATTACTTGTGGAAGGTGAGTATTTCTCCTCTAACCTAGGCTAACCAGAAAGGCTCCTCACAGAACCATCACTGCTTGCAATGAAAGAACAGAGGAGAGGAGCCAGGCCCTTCTGGCCATCCGGGGGCTCCCTGAGCCCAGGATATCATGGCTTGCAGCTTCTCCCCTGACCAGACAAACAACCTGAGCCTGAGAACTAAAAGCAGCAGTAACTTAAACCTCGGAGACAATGGTGATGCCCATGGCATCCCTGAAGTCTCAAGTTCCCAAAGTGAGTTCTCAAGATGTCAAGCAACCACCAGGCTGCATCTTGTCTCTTTCTACAGCAAAGATGCAAAGACTGCTACTAAAGATTGCTTTTGATAATTAAATCACAATTACATTGTTTTATGGCTTTCTATGATGAAATAACAAACTGTTTGAGTAGCAGTCTGTACAGCTTTGCTGTAGAAGATGAGAGAAAGATTACTTTAACAGCAATCTTTACATCTTCTAGAATCTTCTAGAATATATCATTCTAATTGAGACACGGCTCAACAGAAGAGTAAGGAGGACAAAAGAGAGATTTGCAAGTCTAAGCTGCTTGTCTGTTGATTCCTTGAAAGCAGGAACACAAGACATCCCATACTTACTGCAGGAATGATACCCAGAAGGCTGTAACAAATACTTGCATTATTAGTAAATTCATTAAAGAGCAACCAGTAATATCAGCAAGACTCAGCCTGGGCCAAAAAGCTAGGGAGAAAAAAACAAATCCACGAAAGCAAAAGCAATGTTTGGTTCTTTAATAACTTAAAGTAAGGGACAAAACTACAATCCTGCCTTCACCAAATAAAGCCATGTTATGGGGACATTTTAAGTAATAAATCCTATCAGGAAAAGGCAAGTTGTAGGTAGAAATAGCCACCTTAATGTTTTGAAAACCAACAGTTCCATTTGGAATTGAATGGCAACTAACCAATTGAAAGGTAAGGATTAACTAAGAAATTTAAACTCTCTCCCCTAGCTTCACCAAAACATGTTGTATGCTTTTTTAAAAAATGTGTTACATATAAATAAAACAAAAGAAAAGAAAAACAGCACCTATAAATCAGTCTGAATAGAGAGCTAAGTAGAGAAAGGCAGTTTCTTTTCTCCTTCATCCATCAGAAGAATATCATGTCATTTGCAGGAAAATGGATAGACCTGGGAAAAATTATGTGAAGTGAAATAAGTAGGCTCAGAGGGACCAAGGATTCATGCTTCCTCTCACCTATGGAGGCTAGATCTAAATTATGAACGTAAGTGTAATCATACGGGGCCATATGCATCCATCCACGAACGTAGTAACTGAAGCACAGTATACACAAGGGCGATTCCAACGGTGTCTAACAGAATGAATACCAGGAATCTAGAACATGTGTTGTCAGAGGAGGAGAGGTCCAGCAGAAAGGGGAACAGACAAATAAAGAGTGGGAAGGTGGGTGAATGTAGTCATAATCTTCAAGGTACATCTGGGAAAATGGAACCAGGTAACCTGAAAGGAGAGGTAGAGGTGGGAGAGATGGGGAAGAATGATGTGATGTTGATTGAGATGCTGAGTACTCACAAACTCACGTTAAACTGGACTCTCGCTGTACAACTACTTAAAGACTTTAAAAAAAAAAACCTCAAAAAGAAAGAAAATACAGTTCCAAGACCATTCCTTTTTCATGCCCGTTCACCCACAAACCTCAAAGATGGGGATGCTGGGATTCCATGATGTATAAAAAAAAGAAAAAGTAGGGTCAGAAGTGGCATCTGTGCAGAGGACAGGATACCCAGCGTGTCTACCCCATCGGCAGGATTTCTGAAGACAGATTGTTCTGGGGTGTCCATAAGCTTTGCAGCGTCCGTATTCATAACCTTTACAGACACCCACAGTTCACCCTCTCACCTTAGGCATTTCCAGCGCAGTTCTGGTATCAGATCCTCAGCTCTCTCCCATGGACTAGGGAGGTGGGCACTCAGAAAGCCATCTCATTCACCTCCAACAATTCCCGGGCTCTCCACAGCTGGGGCCATTGTTGGTTGCCAAGAGGACGCTATCCAGAGAACCTGTCACCAAGATTTATCTTGCTTATCTACATAGTTGCAGATGAACTAGAACAATCTTAACCTAAGTATTGTTCTCCCTGCACCCAAGCAGAAATTTCTCCCCCTGACTTTCAAGATACCTCTTGGCTCTTCATTCCATTCCGCTTTCTAAAAGGAAACACCATCACCTCGGAAGACTATTAAAACTTGCAGTGTTGATGGAGTCTATTTAGTTTTCAGGGAAATCAAATAAAATCCATAGACCCTCCTCAGAAAGATTCAAGTATGAAATCCAAAATCATGCATACAAGCTGGAGCCTCAGAGAAATCCCCAAGCGAGTTTGCCAAACTCATAGCAATGAAATAACACAGGATAGAGAAGAGAGGGCCGAGGGAGACATTTTGCTTACTTGTCTCTTGGCTGTAGAGGAGGGGGGGAGACCGTGTCCACGGACAGCCGGACTCCTCCCCACCAGGCCCTGCCCTGTCAATTTAAGGGCACTGGGAGAGAGGGGGTCCAAGGAAGTCAAAGATGAGCCTTCTGCTGGTCCTGCCTCCTTCCTCATTTCTACCTCCCCTTTTCTCAAAGAAAGGAAGGGGGAGAGAGGAAGGGAGAGAGAAAGGAAGGGAGGGAGGAGAGGGAGAAGAGGGTGAGAGAGATGATGAGAAAGGGAGGGAGGGAGGGAGGGAGGAAAAGAGGAAGATGGGGAGGGAAGGAAAGAAGAGAAAAGGAAGGAAGGGAGGGAGGGAGGGAGAGGGAGAAGGGGGAAGAGAGAGGATAAGAGAGGGAGGGAGGGAGGGAGGAAAAGAGGAAGATGGGGAGGGAAGAAAAGAGGAAAAAGGAAGGAAGGAAGGAAGGAAAGAAGAAGGAAGGGAGGAAGGGAGGGAGGGAGAGGGAGAAGGGGGAAGGAGAGAGGATAAGAGAGGGAGGAGGGAGGAAAAGAGGAAGGTGGGGTAGGGAAGGAAAGAGGAAAAAAGGAAGGAAGGAAGGGAAAGAGGAGGGAGGGAAGGAAGGAGGGAGGGAAAGACAACGAGGGGAGGGCAGGGAGGGAAAAGGGGATGAGAGGAAGGAGAAGGGGTAAGGGAAGAAGTCAGGAGTGAGGAGAGAGGGGAGGGGAGGAGAGTGGTATTTCATAGTAAGGAAAGGACAGGATGCGGATGGGATCACGAGTGTGGAGCTGCTCCTGAGGCTCTTCCTTTCCTTCTCAGAGGACTGGGTGCTCCCAGGGCCTCCAAGACCAGAAACTGAAGAAAGGGGTACAGCTCCGATCGCACCCCGTCCCACCCCATATTGCACACTGGAGCAGCCCGCTCTGGGACCCCAGACCCCACCACAAGCCCACTAGATCACCTGGCAGCCCGGGATGCTGTGCATGTGCTCCCCAAAGGAGGACTGGCAGCCCTGGCTGCAGCCCAAGCCTGAAGCTTTGAAGGGGAAGCCCCGCCCCTCCCGGGCCACCCCGTCCCAGGTCCCAGGCCCGCCCCGTCCCAGGAGGGTGGGGGATCCCATCTGTGGGGAAGGGGTGGAGGGGGAGGAAACTTCCCCCAAAGGAATGTGTGCAAAGATGCAATCAGCCTGGTGGGGAGGGGCCCAGAAACACCCCTGTCCAGGCCCCTGGTCCTGCAGAGGCTGGAAGCCATGGGCTTTCCACCCGGTGAGTGACAGCTCCACCCCACCTGCCCAGAGGCTTAGTCCTGATTCTCCACATGGTCCCTTTTGTCCCATGACTTGAGACCCCTGCTTCTCCTCATCCCCAAAGCCAAGTTCTCTGTCTACCTACCTGCAGTGGGTGGTCTAAATGATTACTTCTCTCCACAATGCCAGGCATAATCCAAGTATCACCACCACTTGACTCCATCTGAAAGATGATTGCTATAAACTGATGGTCTTTTTATCTTTTACTGTTGAACTGTCAATACAGCTTCTCACTCTAACTTGAAATCCCTAGTCAATCCGTGCTGTTTAACAGGGGAAAAATATCCATACTTTTCCCCACCTAGAAGTACTAGGGTTTATACTGAGGGCCTTGGTAGGCAATGGCTCTACCATTTGAGCCATGCACCAACACCTTCTCATCCATTATTTTTCAAATAGGCCTTCAGCTTTTTGCCTGGGCTGGCTGATTTTCCAACAGCCTCCTGAGAAGTTGGGGTTGCAGGTGTGTACCCGCATGCCTTCGACAGTATCCACAGAAACAGTCAATCTAGTATACATGTCTTTATTTAAAACAAGTAATTGGCAAATTGATGTCTCTATTTTTATGGACTATGCTCCCAATGGAGGACCTGGAGGTTAAACTTGCAGGACTTGGGTAAGAGTAAGTTCACAGAAGTATGTCAGAGTACATTTCAGCGTCTCCCTGAAGTTGGTTCTCTTGCCTGGGTTCAGAAAGGAGCTTTTAAAACGAGCACTCAAGGGTCTAGGATTCCAACCATGGCGTTCACAGCTGCCGAAAGCCCAAGTGTCACCCATCATGCGCTGAAATGGCTCCTTTGAAGCAGGGCATGGGTTTATCTCCATGGTGATCAATAGACTCAAAATCTAATTGGGAAGCCCTGGCATCTTCATGTTCCCTGCTCCAGAAAGCCCTGTGGAACTCTGCACAAGAAGGCAACGTTCACGAGCTTTCTCTCAAGAGCCATTAACAAGTCAGGGCTTGACAGGGAGAAGGAGAATGGAATCACATCATAGAAACAGTCTTAGCTCTGATTCAGTTTTTTGTTGAGACAGGAACAAACAGTGGAATAAAAAGTAGGCCATTCTGCTCTAGATGCCCATGATATGTGTGCTTCTAGTGTTCCCACTGAAGGCTGACCTGGTCACTCCTGGTCATCGATGGCCTTGCTCCACTTCGTGGTAGCACTGGTATAGTAGTAGTAGTCTCATGAAATGACTTATGATTTAAAAAAAAAAGATGAAGCTGGGAGTGGTGGCTTCAGCCTGTAATCCCAGCCTACTTGAAAGACAAAGATTGGGGAATCATAGCTCAAGGCCAGCCTAGGCACAAAAGCTTATGAGACCCCATCTCAACCAATGGGTAGGCAGAGCAGGCACACATCTGCTATTCCAGTCTAGAAGAAAACACAATGGCTAGGCACAGTGGCGTGTGCCTGTCATCCTTGGTGACACAGGGAAGCACAGATGGGGAACTGTAGCTCAGTCTAGCCTAGGCATAAAGGCGACCTCAAAAACACCACTCAGGAGGCTGAGATCTGAGGATCACTGTTCAAAGCCAGCCTGGGCAGGAAAGTCCGTGAGATCTTATTTCCAATTAACCACTAGGAAATGGGAAGTGGCACTGTGGCTCAAGTGGTAGAGCACTCACCTTGAGCTGAAGATCTGAGGGACAGCGCCCAGGCCCAGAGTTCAAGTGCCACAATCAACAAAAGCAAACAAACAAAAAACACCACTGCAGAAAGGGGACTGGATTTATAGCTCAAGTGATGGAATTCCTGCCCAGTAAATATTAAGCCCTGAACTCAACCTCTAGTTTCACCAAAAATTAAAAGTGGCTAACATTTTCTAATAACTTTTAAAAGGATCCTCAGTGAATATGTACTAATAAAATAAGTCAAGTTTTTATCTACACCATACTAGGTAATATTTACAGATACTTCAGTGGCACTCAGATTCCTGAAATACTTCTTGGGTAAGGAGAAAGACCCTATAGTATACAGACGAGACAGAACACTAGAGTGTAAGGCCTGAGTTTTAGCTTTGAAGGAAGCTCTACTAATTAAGAAATTTCCAAGGCAGGGACAAGAGGGAAAAACTAGGGAAAGAGTGAAGGCAGAAACTTCATTGTAAATAAAGGGCTCTTATTCACTCTTTGGTCTAATTCCACTACACTTGGAAGATGGTGTTAGTATCTTCTAAAAGACCCAGACATTCAGCAGAGCTGGACAGAAAGACCACAGGCAAAGGGTGGAACTAACTACTACTGCTCAGCAAGCATTTCAGTGTAATGTGTGCTGCCAGTGAAGCAGGAGGGAGTAGGAAATGTAGTCTGGAAATGTAGTATAGAAAATGAGTATAGAGAAGCAGGGTGAACAAATGCAGTCAGAATAGTCAATGTACATATACAAAGAGAGAGCTTCCGAGGATGGGTGGGGAAGAGAGTGTCATGGATCAAGACACATTGTATTCAGAAATGGCTATGTTGAACAGCATGGTCCATAGAAATGACCACAGTGTTTGCCTCTGGGTGAGGGAAGGGTGGCCGGAAAGGACAGGAAGATATTTTCTAGGCTGATGTAAATGTCCTATAACTCTTCATGGTATAGTTCACTCAGACAAATACTATTGTCAATCAATACTCACTGAACTGGATTATTTAATATCTATGCATTTACTGCATGTAATCCTACCTTGATTAAAAATTCATTAACTCCAAGCGACATCATTTAATTGGTATGGGGAGTGGGTGATGTGCTAGGATTTATAGATACATATTCTGCAAAAGTTTGAGCACTACTAGACTCAACCAGCTGCTGAGATTGAATGAGTTAAATGATGGAAACATAAGGGAACTGAGAAGGGGATGAAGTTAGAAAGTGGTGTTGGATAGGTACAACCTTGTTTCTTGGGGTACCATGCATGGATGACTGCATCAGTGATCCCTGTGATACCGGAAGAGGTAGACCAATTCTTGGAGCCCTCGACAGACATGCTGATGAACATTCTAGAATGAGCCCAGGAAGTTGCATAAGTGAGACTTCCTCTGGGTGATTCTCAGGCTCTCCAGTCAGGGCACTTCCAGAATGAAGTCCGCAGGATGTCAGCAGAAGGGAAGTGATCCACTGAGGGTCGACTTACCACAAGCAAGCGTAGGACAAAGTGGAGCAGACAGCACTTTGAAAATCAATCATACTGTGGCTAGCACCCCTGGTTTTAAGGCCTGGCTATGGGTCCCAAACGCTTACCTGCATG